ATATATATATATATATATATATATATATATATATATATATATATATATATATATATATATATATATATATATATATATATATATATATATATATACATTCATTGTTGAAGTCTGAATTATTCGCCTCCGTTAATTTTTTTTTTCCACCAATTTCTGTTTAGCAGAGAAAATATTTTTTCAACACATTTCTAAACATAATAGTTTTAATAATTCATTTCTAATAACTGATTTATTTTATCTTTGCCATGATGACAGTACATAATATTTTGCTGAATATTTTTAAGATACTTCTATACAGCTTAAAGTGACATTTAAAGGCTTAACTAGGTTAATTAGGTTAACTAGGCAGGTTAAGGTAATTAGGCATGTTACTGTATAATGATGGTTTGTTCTGTGTAGAAAAAATAGCTTGAAGGGGCTAATAATTTTTACTTTAAAATGGTTTTAAAAATTAAAAACTGCTTTTATTCTAGCCGAAATAAAACAAATAAGAAAAAATATTATCAGACATACTGTGACAATTTCTTTGCTCTGTTAAACATTATTTGGGAAATAATAAAAAAAGAAAATGAAATTCAAAGGGGGGCTAATAATTCTGACTCCAACTGTAACAATCCATCCACTATTACTAGTTGGGTTTCCATGCTCGATTTCTACAGTACTTGTAAATAAATTGATGCTGTGCATGATCTTGGTCATACCACGCAGCCCTTCCTCCCAGCCATAATGAGAGAAGACAGAAGCCTGTGTTTCCTGTAGTATATACGTTTATAAAGAGGTCAAACTGAACTACAGTAAAGAGGAAAAAACAGCAGCACTGGGGGGAGAACCATAGGGCACTATGGGTAAATGTGGCGGTGTAGGAACAAGGTCCACTTGATTGTGTGTTTGTTTGGTTTGAGAAGGACAGCAGGGTGGATCCAGCATAAAAACACACACACGGTGAAACGCAGAGGATCAGCCTGAGCATGCAGCGGTCTTTACCTGAGCTGTACACAAACGGGCCTTGGGCTGCAGAAATAACCAGGTCAAGATAGAAAACAATGAATGCAGGACAAAAACGCTCACACCAACAGCTGCAGACGCTCACATTTGACTTATAAAAGAGACCTTATTAACTTAACTTATTAAATCACCTCAGCGTTTACTCTCTTTGTGTGCTTTTAAATCTTTATGGAGTTTGTTTCTTCCGTTGAACACAAAAGAAGATATTTTTAAAAATGCTGGTATCCATTGACTACCGTAGTAGGAAAAAATGTACTAATGTACTAATGGAAGAAACAAATTCAAGTAGGTTTTGAATAATTGAAAGGTGAGTAAATGATTTTTATGATTTAATGACTTTAATTTTTTTTCCTGAACAATTAGTTTAATGTGTGTGTTTGTGTGTGTGGGCCCCAAAAATACTCTATGCTATGGAAGCCTATTTCTACAAGCGGCAAAACAAAGATTAAATTCACTGTCTAGCTCATAATTTTGAGAAATATTTGCATTTCTGAGTAGAAATGTCTAAATTGTGAGATCAAAATAATAATAATAATAATAATAATAATAATAATAATAATAAATATAAATATATATGGGCGTCATGGTGGTGCAGTGGGTAGCACGAGGGTTGCGTAGTGTATGTGTGTGAATGCAGGCGACGCAGTGGTGCAGTAGGTAGTGCTGTCGCCTCACAGCAAGAAGGTTGCTGGTTTGAAGCTCGGCTCAGCATTTCTGTGTGGAGTTTGCATGTTCTCCCTGCGTTCGCGTGGGTTTCCTCCGGGTGCTCCGGTTTCCCCCACAGTCCAAAGACATGCGGTACAGGTGAATTGGGTAGGCTAAATTGTCCGTAGTGTATGTGTGTGTGTGTGGATGTTTCCCAGAGATGGCTTGCGGCTGGAAGGGCATCCGCTGCGTAAAAACTTGCTGGATAAGTTGGCAGTAATTCCGCTGTGGCAACCCCGGATTAATAAAGGGACTAAGCCGACAAGAAAATGAATGAATGAATGAAAGTGTGTGAATGAAAGAGTTTATGGGTGTTTCAGCTGCAAGGGCATCCTCAGCTGTGGAAAAGCATATGCTAGAAAATTTGGCAGTTCATTCCACTGTGGTGACCCCAGATAAATGAAGGGACTGAGCCGAAAAAAAAAATCAATGAATGAATGACTTAATATAATTTCTTTAATTAATATAATTTGTCATATATATATATATATATATGTATATATATATATATATAATAATTATTATTATATTATATTATATTATATTTTTGCTTGAAATTTTCATTTTCCCCCCACAATTCTGACTCCTTGTTTAATATCAATATTAGTAATGCAAAAAACATTTTTTAATCTCACAATTGAGATATTTTTACTTGGAATTGCAAATATTTCTCAAAAAATGTGTTCTAACATTTTATAATTAAAAAACCCAAACTACAAAACAGCAATTCTAAGGAAAAAGTCCACTTTAGAATTGCGAAATGTTCACAATCCTGAAAATAAAAATAAATAAAGAAATGTAAAACTTTTTTTCCCCCACTTGTTGGAAGCAAGCTTCATAACTTAGCAAGCATGCAATGCTTTTCACAATGAAACATTGGACTTAACACATTTTAAATATAGATTACTTGAGTGTGTATTTTAATTAAATTGTATTTGAATTTTTCCTACTTAAAGTGTACAATTTTAGTTCAATAATACTATTCAAAAATTGCTATTATTAAGGCACAAGTTAAGCTCCCTAATTTAATACCACAATCAAAACAATATAAAATAAATTGTGAATATTCAATATGTTGCCCAAATAAGAATTATAAGGCCTCCTGTGAAATTCAATTCTTTTAAAAACATTTCCCAAATGCTATTAAATGTATGATTTACTTAATCAACACGTTTCTAAACATAACAGTTGTAATAACTAATTTCTAATAACTAGTAACTAGTTATTAATAACTAGTTTCTTTATTATCACAGTTATGACAGTAAAACCTAATATGTTATAGTTATTTTAAAAGATACTAGTATTCACCTTAAAGAGTAATTGATTGACATATCTATAACAATAAAATTAAATTAAAATTGGATTAAATTAATGGTAGTTTAAATGTTTAACTAGGTTAATTTGGTTATTAAAGGCAACCTTTGATTTGAAGCTTTTATATTGTAATTAATTGATATGTTTAAGTTGGGTAATAAACAACTGTACATAATATAACATTAATATTAAAGTTGTTTAAATTAAGTTTACCTATGATATTTAACTTTGTAATATTTAACACTGATTGTTTTAATTTAGTGAAAGCCATTCTTACATTTATATATCAGGTTTACAGATTAAAATAAAAATAAAATAAAAATTGAAAAATCAAAATAAAATAAAATTAAATTAAATTAATAAAATAGGTTAACTAGGCAAGTTACTGGACAACAGTGGTTTGTTCTGTAGCCAATCAAAAAATCAATTCTTAGAGAGGCTAATATATTGACAATAAAATTAGCTTTTAAAAATGTCAAATCTGTTTTAATTCCAACAAAACTAAAATAAAATCATCCTCCAGAAAAATGTATTATAGGAAATAGTGTAAAAAATGTCCTTGCTTTGTTAAACAGCACTTTAGAAATATATTTGAAAAATAATTTTTTAAAAACCAATATCACAGGAGGGCTAATAATTCTGACTTTAACTCTATATAGTTTTATATGGGTGTGATAGTGCTAGAGTATAGAGATGTAGTGTGTCATACTCTGCAGTCTGCGTGTGGGACTGTCCCCATGCAGTGCTCGTCTCTGCAAGGAGGGGGAGCTCTTGGGCAGCGGGACCGACGACACGTCATGCGTCTGCAGTTTATACCAGTGTGGCTCGTCGTCCACCAGCGCCGTTTCCAGCTCGATCAGGATCTGCACGCAAACAACATGATATTCAGAATGCACAGACGTATACAGTTCATGCAATATGCAAAGTCAATGCAAGTCATGTTTAAGAATAACTACGATAATATTCATGCTGTAATTTTAAGTGTTTTTGAAAGCTGTTTTGAAGTACATGTACAGCCTTGAAAAATTCAGTCTGGCATTGAATCTTGAAATTATTTATTACTGTTTTTAGATTTCTTTTTGTTGTTGTTAATAGAATAATAATTAAATGATCCCTAAACTACAACAACACCAAATGCATTTGAAATTTTTAATTTAGGAAAAGTATGACCACTGATTTTATTCCTGCTAGCTAGTTTGTTATGTTTATGGTCATTGGTCAAGCTATAATTCAGTAAGATCAGTTTCAGAGTTTCACAGCACCAACTACTGTACTCTATTTTCTGGTCTCACCTCCCCGAGGAACTCGCTCTCCTCCTCCCGAACCCGGGCCTGGTCCCAGAGCGTGATCTCCAGCATTCTCTCCCTGAACTCCCGCCGGTGCACGGGCGAGTACATAAAGGTCTGGTTCCATTTGGGCTCTAGTGATTTCTTTACCGTTTTTGTTCTTCTTTTGCTTTTGTCGCTGGAGAAACAATGATTCAAACTGTTTTTATTTACCATCATGGTAAAAGAATGCTGGAACAAACACTGACATCCAACACAATTAACAGCAGGCATTGTTGAAATGACAAAAATGTTCAGAGTGGAATACTAGTTAAATGTAATAACAATAATTTTTATATTTTTAACATAATTTATGATATTACAATAATAGATCATTCAAATAATAATTATTTAAATTAAATACATAGAATAAAAAGAAATAGAAAGAAAATTAAAAGAAATAGAACCCTTTATATGGTAATTAATTGATATATGGTTAAATTAAAAATATATATACTCACTGTACATAATATAACACTATAACAAAAATAAGTCGACCTATGATATTTAACGTTATAATATTTAACACGGTGGATTGTTTTACTTCAGTGAAAGGCATAAGGTAGTCATTCTTATATGTTTATATCAGGTTCACAGATTAAAAATAAAATAAAAATAATAAAATAAAATAAAGTGAAACAAAAAAGTAAAATGAAATAAAATAAAAAAATAAAATAAAGTTCAATAAAAAAGCAAAATTAAATTAAAAATTTAATAAAATAAAAAGTTAAATAAAAAGTTACATAAAAATTACATAAAATAAAAAAATTAATTAAAATAACATAAAAAAGTTAAATAAAAAGTTAAATAACATAAAAAAGTAAAAAAATTGAATAAAAAGTAAAATAAAAAGTAAACTAAATAAAATAAAAATAAATAAAAATAAAATAAAAAGTAAAATAAAAAATTAAATAAAAAGTAATATAAAATAAAATAAAAAATTAATTAAAATAAAATAAAAAGTAAAATAAAATAAAATAAAAAATAAAAATAAATTAAAAAGTAAAAAAATTAAATAATATAAAAAAGTAAAATAAAAATAAAAAAGTAAAATAAAATAATATAAAATAAAAATAAAATCAATTTTTAAAAAATGTAATTAAAATATTTTAAATTAAAATAAAAAAATAAATTTTAAAATAAATAAAATAATTTTAAAATAAATAAAAAAAATTAATTTATTCAATGTAATAAGAAGAATCTAAAGGAAAAATGCACTGTAAATAACTAAAACAAACAAAAAGGGTGCCTGTATAAATAATAATTATTTAATAATGACAAACACAAAACAAATGCTAAAAATGCCCAAACTTCTAAAATAAATGAAAATATAACAAACAAAAAGGTAAATCAAACAGATGATAATAAATACTAAATTTACACTGCTATCTACAGTACAGTAAGTGTATTTTCATACTACACATTACTACTGTATATTGTGCCAACAGAAATGCTGCATACTGTTTATAATACACATAAATACAGCATACACTGTGAATTAAATACTGTAAAGCCAGTGTTATTAGCATTAAAGTACGCCATTCTGAACATAACCACAGCAAATGTAATACTGTATATAAAAAAAATAAAACATCTGCCCCAATCTCACCTTCTGTCAGGGAGGAAGTAGATCTTGACATAGGGATTGCGAGGTCGACCGTCTTCCCTTGAAGGCAGATCCTTTGCACCCAGTATGGTGACTATAAGCTGATGGCCCACTTTGTCATACCAAAGTTTGACCTGTAGGGTTACAAACATCAGAGTCTTTTTGAGAAACAACTTGTGTTTTCACTCTCCACATCATCAGCTGCTTTATTTAAAGAAAGACTCCACTTTTTATTTTAATAGGCTTATTTTCCAACTCTCCTAGAATTAAACCATTTTTGAATCTATTCAGCCGATCTTCAGGTCTAGCGGGAACACTTATAGCTTAGCTTAGCATAAATCATTGAATTGGATTGGACCATTAGCATCTCACTCAAAATCTTCCAAAAGAGTTTTGACAATTTTCCTATTTAAAGCTTGACTCTTCTGTTGTTACATTGTGTGCTAAGACCAACAGAAAATGTAAAATTGCTATTCTCTAAGTCAGGGGTCGGCAACCCGCGGCTCTAGAGCCGCATGCGGCTCTTTAGCGCTGCCCTAGTGGCTCCCTGGAACTTTTTCAAAAAATGTTTGAAAATGGAAAACGATGAGGGAGGTAAATATATTTTTTGTTTTAATATGGTTTCTATAAGGAGGACAAACAATCTTAACGTTTTCCAATGCTGTAAAAGTGTGTAGAATATTTAATTTCAACATTTCTGTCAACGAAGATTTGCGTCATAGCCTGCGACACACGTTTCTATCAGCAGGGCGGGATGCCAGGCAGGTAGCTGTTGTAAACAAACCGGCGGCTGTGTGGTGCGCCATGGAGCGCAAGCTGTCTTTGCCAAAGATGTACAGCGGGGCACGCTTTCTCATTTTCCCTCCCTGAGAGAATTCTAAGAAGCCCATCCCGATCACTCACTCAACGGTAATTATTTACAAGGTGCGATCGTTGATATGCAAACCCCTAACCCCAACCGTCATTGGGGGAAAAGCAAATCGTACTAAATTGTACGAATTAGATCGTACGAATTAATACGAATTAGCCACTAAATGAAAAAGTTACGAATTGCCGTGAGATTGTGTTGGTTGAGCACATTCCCAGGAATGACTCGAGCTGATCTTGAAATGGAAATGGCAGACTGCGTTTTATTGCACTGTTTGTTGCCCAGATAGGGGCACGTTGCACGTTAATTTTGATGTTTTTTGGAATCCTGAAAATAAAAAAAAAACATTAAAAAATCTGATTTCTTTATTGCATTTCTTTAATTTCATCAAAGCAAAACATAATGCAATAATATTGTAATGAAGTTAAACTTGATCATTAAACAATTCATTAATATTGTAATGAAGTTAAACTTGTTAATTAAGCATAATGCATTAATATTGTAATGAAGTTAAACTTGTTAATTAAGCATAATGCATTAATATTGTAATGAAGTTAAACTTGATAATTAAACATAATGCATTAATATTGCAATGAAGTTAAACTTGATCATTAAACAATTCATTAATATTGTAATGAAGTTAAACTTGTTAATTAAACATAATGCATTAATATTGTAATGAAGTTAAACTTGATAATTAAACATAATGCATTAATATTGTAATGAAGTTAAACTTGATCATTAAACAATTCATTAATATTGTAATGAAGTTAAACTTGATAATTAAACATAATTCATTAATATTGTAATGAAGTTAAACTTGATAATTAAACATAATGCATTAATATTGCAATGAAGTTAAACTTGATCATTAAACAATTCATTAATATTGTAATGAAGTTAAACTTGATAATTAATCATAATGCATTAATATTGTAATGAAGTTAAACTTGATCATTAAACAATTAATTAATATTGTAATGAAGTTAAACTTGAACATTAAACATAATTCATTAATATACTGTAATTAAGTTAAACTTGAGACGGCATTGTACAACAGAGTAGTCACGTGGCGCGTCATTCTCTACAGGATGCACTGCAGGGAAATGAACATTTAATCATGAAGGCTCAGTATGTATTTGTAGCCAGCAAAGTCATTTTTATAGTAGGCTAATATAGCTAATATAAATACATACAGCATGTGTTGCCATCATTATAAGGCTTATATAAGGCTTTTAATTTTTTGCGGCTCCAGACATATTTGTTTTTGTTTTTTTTGGTCCAATATGGCTCTTTCAACATTTTGGGTTGCCGACCCCTGCTCTAAGTTAATATAGGTGTATAGGAACTATACAATCTTTCCAAAGTAATAATAAAGAAATTTTTCTGCCATACCATGGGTGCAGCAGACATAATGATATTACGCAGCTCTATTACCTAGTTACCTTGGTGGAGACTATTTTCAGGCAGTGCATAATATTGTGCCAGCTGCAGGCGAGGTACAGCAACAAAGTTCGATTATTATACCAGAATGAAAGTATAGTTCCTATTGAAAAATTGCAATATTTCATTTTCTGTCAGTCTTAGTACAAAGTGTAACATCATTTTGCAATATAAAGCTTGACTTTTTTGTAAAAAAAGTCAAGTTTTATATTGCAAAATGATCAAAAAGATATATTTTTAAATCGAAATGCTAATGGTCTAATCCGATTCAATGATTTATGCTGAGCTAAGCTAAAAGTGCTCCTGCCAGACTGGGAAATCAGCTGAATGGATTCAGAAATGGTAAAACTCAACTGTTTAATTCTAGGAAAGATGCGAAATAAGCCTTTTTCCAAAATAAAGTGGAGTGTTGCTTTAAACACATCAAGAAAAATAAAAAGAGGTTTGTTATATAGCATTGCGCATGCGAAGATGCATGACAGAACAAGCTTGCAACTCAGACAAGTATGGACGTGACAGAAAAATACTTAGAAGTCAGACACACACACAGGAACAAACATCCAAATTACACAGAAAATGCAAGATCTTCTAAGCCAGAGCCCATACTTGCTTGTAGTTATAGAAAAGAATTATGGCTATAAACGCTTCAACCTGCAGTGTAAAACATGCAATGAAGGGCAATCCTTAAAGTATGTATAAGAGCAAGGAGAGCTGGGTCAAACAAACTGTACCATTACATAATAATTCCCAACAGAACCAGCGGACGCTGTGCATTAAGGACACTAAAGTTGTCCAAAGTGTAAAAAAAAAAAATTGTAATATTCCCAGGGGGAAATCTCCTAATATGTGTAGCACATTTTCCGGAACATAAGTTGCAATGTGTCAAAAACTGAGAGAATTGGTCACATTCCCTGCTTGTAAGTCACATTTATCATAACTTACATTTATTTAGCAATTTTATACAAAAAGAGAAGACTAAAAGAAGCAATCAGACCAACGGAATAGCGAAAATATGTAAGTTTAAGAATACCCAGTTAATCTAAAACAACACGAGGCAAGCTTTTAAAAATAAATAGACTAAAACGAAAGTAATAACGTTTGTCCCAAATCGCATACTTATGCACTATTCTATGCCATTTTGCATTCACACTGAAAACTATATAATAGTTATGTAAAATATATTGATATATAATTTAATATATAATATAATAAAATAATAAGTGTACTTTAATTACCTGGATGATGCATTCATTCAACTGTTAAAATTCACACACTCAACGGCTGCTGCTTTGCTCACGAAGCGGAAGTGGCGGAGCTTTCGGACACTGATGTTGGATTACTTTATTTATTTTGGATTGTGAAAGCAAAATTCTCTTACGAGAGTAATAATGCCACCTCCTGATGGTGAATGAGGTTATACACATGGTAGGTATTTGGTCATTTGGTCATTTATTTTACTAATTTGGCCACCGTCAAACGTCATCTGAGAAATGGTTTAAATTTCCGCTTAGTTAAAAAAACGCTTAGTTCCATTTTGGAGGACACTACATACGTACACTATGCAGCTTTAGTAACAGCAGGTCAAGTGTTAATGTAAAAAGATGGTCACGGTTAAGAAAAACTAGTTGTCGTTTCATTCAAAAATGATGTGCACATGGCAGCTAAAAGGAAAGTAAATGTCTAAACACATTTTAGACGCATTTTATATAACAAATCCCTTTAAAAATTATTCAGAAACAAATTGCAATGTAAAAAGTATCAAATAAACAGAAAATACAGCAGCTTCCACTTTAGGTAAACATATATGAGGTGCTAAAGTCCACTGTTGTTTAATAGTTTGTCAAGTACACATATGTGTGATGTCACTGTTACCACAATAATGTTATTTATTTCAAAATTATATTATATTTGTAGTATATATTGTAAAGTTTGCATTTCCAGGGGCACACTTTGCAAACAAACAGACAAAATACATAATGTTTTAGATTAAATTATTTTGCATATGCTAAAATTACCCTAAAATTGCATGTGCATGGTGAAATGCACTATATACATACTTGCATGTCGCTCCTGTTTTACACAATATAATTAAGATTTATGTCAATTGTGTTATATTAGTCAAAGTCAACCTTAGATGATTACAGGCTCCTACACAACGGGACGCTTTTCGTTTGCGTTTATCGTCAGTGTTTTACGAGACGTGTTTCCGCATTCAAACCCAAGCGATTGTTTTACTGGCATCGAGCAGAAGAGTTAGCAAAATCACTCCTTGACATTAGATGGTGCTACACAACTTTAAGCTTCGGACACCCGCTTATAACACAGAAGATGATGAGGAGAGGAAGTTCACACGCTTGTTGTTAAAGTTACTTGTGACTCGAACAAGCATAGATGGTTCAAGCAGCAGCTCCAGCTCTAGCGATGAAGAAATGATTATTGTTCACAAATCAATAAGCAGCTAAACGTTCATTTTGCCTCTGGGCATCTTCTTCAATATGCGCTCGCATTAATCGTTCTACGCTTGAGTGCCTCCAAGTGCTGTTTACTGTAACTTCAGCAGCTCCGTGCACGTGAACAAAAGTGGCGATCTGATTGGTGGAGAAGGTTTTAATGCGGCGCACTAAAAAAGAGCATGAGGCGTTTTTTTTTAAATGACGCTTTTGAGTCTGCGGTTTTTGCGCATTGGTGTGCACGATCATTGATTTATTCAATGATTAGATTAAATCAGTGATTATTTAGTCACAAGGCATTAAACATTGACGGAAAACGCAAGCAAAAAACGTCTCTACAAAAAACACCCTACAGAAGCCTTTTATCTAACTCTCTTAAAAACCTCTCAAAAATAATCTACTCTAATTTAAAAATGATGTTCTGTTGGTTGTTTCCCTGAATATAATCAAAATGTAGTGATAATTTACGTATACAATAGCTTACAGCACACCTTCAACAAATCCTTTTAGCTGCAACATGAAACTTATAATAATGTTTGTACCGTATAAGACAAAATATTTTTAGCATGATTATTAGTTACAAATATGGAATGCATTTTTATTCATCCTCCATAATAACGAACAACACAAGCTCATTAGGAAAATGTGCCCAGGAATACATTTTTGAGAACTAAGAAACATGTGCTTATGGGTACATTTGGCTTGCATGTAAAACGATAGCTACGGGCAGTACTTTTCTCCATGTAAATGGACTTTCGGGCTTGACTGGTTCGCTTGGTAGCTCACATCTTGGAACACGAACCAAACTGGGGTTAGAGTTTAGCAAATGACTTTTAGAATCCAGGAGAAACAAACCCCCTCAAAAAGCCATGTGACATTGTAGTAGAAAACGTTTTTCTCTTCTGGTTTGCTTTCGAAAACACTATTGGTTGTGTTTAGGGAAGTGTGTGTGTGGGTCAGTCAAAATAAAGCTGATATATTATGCACGACGACTAGATAACCAACTTCTCTCATTAAAATGAAGTGATTAGAACCTTGAGATTGGCAAAAAATGTACACAGCACCCTCTGGTGTATTTTTAAGAAATGGCACGTATGAGAAAACATGGCCCAGTATCGTATTTGATATTGTCAAAAATGTACACGGTGGCCTCTAGTGGATATGTGAAAACAAAAAATGCAAAAAAAGGTGAGCTAACCGACTTCTCTAACGAAAACCGTATGATTAAAATGATTAAATTGCATGTATGAGAAAATGTGAACCAGTAACGTATTTGCGATAGTCAAAAATCCACACTGTGCCCTCTAGTGGATATGTAAAAAAACTACAAGACAACAAGCTACCGACTTCTCTCACGAAAATTGCATGATTAAAACCTTGAGATTGGCAGAAATGTACACCACGCCCTCTGGTGGATTTTTGAGATATTGCACGTATAAGAAACTTGACCCAGTAACGTATTTGCGATAGTCAAAAATGTACACTGTGCCCTCTATTGAATATGTGAAAAAAAACTGCAAGATGATGAGATAACCAACTTCTCTCATGAAAATCCTGTGATTAGATCCTTGAGATTGGCAAAAATGTACACAGCACCCTCTGGTGGATTTTTGAGAAATGGCACGTATGAGAAAATGTGCCCCAGTATCGTATTTGAGATTGTCAAAAATGTGAACGGCGGCCACTAGTGGATATTTAAAAACAAAAACTGCAAGAAGACCAGCTAACCGACTTCTGTCATGAAAATTGTGTGATTAAAACCTTGAGATTGGCAGAAATGTACACCATGCCCTCTGGTGGATGTTTGAGAAATGGCACATATGAGAAAACATGCCCCAGTAACATATCTGAGATTGTCTAAAATGTACACGGCGCCCTCTAGTGGATATGTGAAAACAAAAACTGCAAAAGGTTACACAGGTAGCCCAGGTACACATTTCTCAGTTATCAAAAATGGGAACATATTTACAATAAGCCTGTGTTGATAATAAAGCACATTGAATCAGTTCCTTTCTAAAACACATTCAGGATTGAATGCAGTTTCATGTTACATGGAAAAAGAATCATATTGTATTGTACAAACTCTGCATCACTAAAACATTTAAAGAGACACACTACTCCTTTAAAAAAAAAAAAGCCTTACGGGGTTGGAAGCGTTATACCATCGCTCCAGCAGACGGGTGTCTCTTAAAATATTTTTGTGCTAATTAACAGCATGCAAATAATATATGCCATACAATAAGATAAGAATATGCTTCAAACAGCAATAGCAATGAAGACGAGTAAAGAGTTCTTCAAATGTGCAAACTGAAGCTGGAAGCTTTTCTGCTCGGCATTATTCAATAAATTAAAGCAATAGAAGAGAAGTGTATTTAGTAGACAGCAACGATTACCTGAACTCTAGGGTTAAAAGGCTCAATTCTTCTACTAAGGCTTTGGCTCTGGGTGAGTAAAATGAATGGAGGGAAAAAACAATGAAGAGAAATGTAATAAAACTAAAAACCTGAAATGACAATACCAGTTGTTAATGCAACACTAATAAAAGCTGAGTAGGAGATTCAATCTGAAGACAATGGTTGTTGTGACATCTGAAATATAATACAATCAAAGTTTGAGGAATCTGTCCAAATGCAAGCAGTGTTTCCCAAAGTGTAGTACACAAACCTTTTAATCGTTTCTTGCACAGAAATTTCTAATTTTTTTCTTATTATTATTCTTTGAATCTCTTTACAGGAAACACTGCTGTTTACATTGAATCTCCTGCTCAGCTAAATACAAATAACAAGATTATTTTGTATCACAGAAACACACAAACACATCAAATAGTGTTAGAAATGACTGAATCTGATGAGATACAGAACAAAGATATGAAAAATTGATATTTTTCTACTGATCTGAACAAAATCACTATTATACTAATAAATATAATTCTGAGATAACAATTCTGCAAACAGTGCTATCTCTATCAGTCGGTCTATCTTAATATCTGTTGTTCTATCCATATATTCATCCACTGTTTAGTCTATTCATCTATTCTTCTATCAATTTCAAGTCATTCTATTCATCCACTTATTATCCATAGTTTAAATGAACCATCTATGCACAATTCTGCTTCATCATCCAGTGTTTTCATTACATTATACATTCTGTTTTCGTTGAACTATTAATTTATCCCTCCAACCATTGTTCAATCAATCTTTCTATCATTCTATCCATCCATTCATCTTTTTTAACAACTGTCCATTCAGTCCATCCCTCACTTTATCCTTCTATTCATCCAACAATCTCTGCATCAATCATCACTATTTATTTTCATTAATCTACCACCCATCCATCATTCATCCATCCACCTCTCATTCTTCCATGCATATTTATATCTATCCATTCACCCATCCATCATTCTATCAATCCATCCATCCATCCATCCATCCATCCATCCATCCATTCTATCTATCTATCCATCAACCCATCCATTGTTCTATCCATCCATTCACCCATCCATTGTTCTATCCATCCACCACTCTAACCATCTATCCATGCACCATTCAATCTATCTATATCCATCCATCATTCTATCATCCATCCATCGTTCTGTCCATTCACCGTTCCATTTTTCTATGTATCAACCCATACATCCTCCATTCAATCCATCCTTCCATCATTCTATCTATTTACCCATCCATCCATCCATCCATCAATCCATACATCCATCCATCCATCCATCAATCCATACATCCATCTATCCATCCATCGTTTTATCTATCATTAACCCATACATGCCTCATTCTATTCATCCACCCATCATTCCTTCCATTCACCCATCATCCATCCATCCATCCATCCATCCATTACTCTATCATTTACCCCTCCACCCATTTTCATTTATTCATCCACCCATCATTCTATAATCCATCTATCGTTCTAAATAATAATCCACCCATTGTTTTATCCATCAATCCATCCATCCATTTTTCTATCCATTCACCCATCCACCACACTATCCATCTCACCATCCATATTATACTGTCAACCAGCCATTCCATCATCCTATCTATCCATCCATTGTTCTATCTATCCGTCGACCCATACATCATTCATTCTATCCATGCACTCATCATTCTATCCAACAATCCATCCCCAATCTATCTATTCATTTACTCATCTATCATTCTATTAATCCACCCATAACTCATTCTATGCATCCATCCATCCATCCATCCATCCATCCATCCATCCATCCATCCATCCATCACGCTATCTATCAATTCATCATGACCATGTATCACACTGCTTCCTTGATATCAGTATCAGCCACAGAAAAAAAAACATTTTATCCAACCATTCATGCAAATCATTGATTTTTTTTCTCTCCACCCAAAGAGTACTATCTAAAGAACAGCCTGCGCTTCATTTGCATTACTTAAATCATCCAGCTTGTGCACTTTACACCAGAGTTTGTCATGTTGTACAAGCAAGCTGGGTATTTTTTTACACTCAAACAATGATTAGCATGATGGCTGACTGTAACCTGATCAGCTCTGAGGAGACGAAAGCAGCTCAGCCTGAGCACTGATCCAATGCCAGATCTGAATTTAAAGTCATTTAATCCAAATTATGTGTGTAATCAATGTTGAGTCACTCACAATTACATATTCTTTTTCATTACTTCCAAAGATAATGTACTTTTGATCAATGTAAATGTACCTTCTTATGAACTTCTAAGTAAGCTATGCTAATCTGCGTAAGATTGTTTCACCCTCTAAGCAAAAAAAAATGTTTTCTTACTTAGAATTTGACTCGTTTCTAGTCCAACTATCTAAAAATGCTTTAATCAAAATATATTGTTTTGTTTTAAGAAATAATATGCAAAAATTAAGTGAGTTTTACCTTAAAACAAGCAAAATAATCTGCCAATGGGATAAGCAAAATAATCTTGTTTTTCATTTTGACATGAGATTATTTTGATTTCCCCAATTAGCAGATAATTTTTGCTTGTTTTAACCCGTCACACATGAGTTTTAAACGCTCCACCTGACCCTCCCTTGTTTGTGGGTATTACTTAGAATCCACTCAGTTCTGTAGTTTATCACAAGACCCACCAGCCCCAATGATCTATGTATATGTTTACTGTAAAACTGTAAGTTCACAGTACTCATTTAGATTAGTTTTTTTGCTCAAATGGTTTGTAGCAATCGGTTTTCTCAAATGGTTTGAGTTGCCTTAACTTATTGGGTTTTACAGTACTCAGTTGGTTTGAGTTCTCTTCATTTATTGGATTTTACTGTGCTCAAATTGCTTAGTTTAATCAAATGGATTAAGTTCACAGTACTCATTAGAATTAGTTTTTGAACCTACTGTAAATGGTTTGTTGAAATCAGTTTACTCAAATGGTTTGAGCTACTTTAACTTTTTGGGTTGCACAGTGTTGTATTTTGTTTCTTTTTGCCCTTTTCTGTAAATATTGACAAATGTTTTCATTTTATTGTGAAATTTCTGATACCCCGATTCTCAAATATGTGACAGAACATGTATTTAGTCTTTTAAATAGCTTAATAATGATTATATTATTGGTTATATGATGGGTAATGGGCACCGCTGTTGTTCTTAGAAGGGATACAGCTGAGATAGGAAGTTAACAAGAAGTATTTATAGCGTTATTTAATTACGTATTAATTGTATTTTATTAGCTAGATGGGATACACTTAAATATAGCATCATTTTTGTGACACAGTAAAACAAATAATATTTTTACATTACCATGAAGGTTGAGGTAGGGGTTAGCATTAATAAAATACAATTAATGCATAATTTATTAAATAATATTAACATCTGTATCCCTTCTAGCACAGGAGAGATCCAAGCAGCTGGATTTATGTAAATACATAATTCTCTGCTGAAATACATGAAGGTAAGCTACTGGGAGAGGAATAGAGAAAATATAATAACATAAACAGTGTGTATCTTTCGTGACCAAAGCACATGGTTTAGTTATATTGAAAAATAACTATTATTGCCATCGCCATACACATCTGCGTGTATTTTTACAATGCTAATGCTAATGCTAATGCTAATGCTAATGCTAATCTAATCACACCGGTGTGATTGTACGCTTGCCTGATCACACCACTGCGATCATACGCTGTGAAAAGGTTAAGGAAAAACTCACTTAATTTAAACAAGACCATTTTTTGCTTTAGAAAATGCTTATTGAATGAAGAATTACTGGACATTTGGACTAGAAACAAGACAAAAAATCTAAGAAAATCACTTTAAAATCACTAGTTTCAACTTCATTGAACTAATTACCTAAAACCCCAGTACTTAACATTTTCCATAAACCAAAATACATTGGACAGAAAATGATTACTTACTGTAAGCTGTCCCGATAAGTACTGAGGGGCGTCCCGCAGCACTCCGGGGCTCATGGGAGACGTGACGGATATGGAGGGACGCTCCATCTTCTGAGACTCAAATGAACTCGAACCTTAGAACAGATTCAAAGTGAAGGAAGGAAAAAAATAATCAGAGATCTGTGGAAATGTCTCATTAATGTCTCGGAAAATCTCATCATTTATACACACTACTGAAGAATCGTACTCACTGGACTCAAGTTGTGCGTGTGTGCTTTCTGGTATCCTGGGTATATCTCTGCAATGACAGCGGTATAGAGAAATCAATGACATGTGCTTTAATGACCCTGAGCAGCACATTAGTCTTGATGTGAAGTTTGTGGCAACGGCCCAAACTCTCGATCTGAAGGGAGTTCAGTTGCTCTTTACTATTACAATTAGGACGATTAGAGGCTAAACTGAGGCCAGCACTTTTGTTTTGTTTGTTCATCTGAGCCAGCAGGTTCTCGACAGGGTCATACGTGACGTTTTTGCTTCCCAAAGTCCACTTGCAATGTTATGAACAAGCAATGAAAACATTGTCAAATAATAAGCCAAAGTAATAAAAAAGCCTTTTTATGATTATTTGGTAACACTTTAGAATGTGTTAACAGTTAATAACCAATAAATAGAAAAAAATCAATAAATTACATTTAAAATAAAGAATAATTGCATAAATAAAATATAAAATACAATTTTTTTTCTTCTTGTTTTGTGCTTATTATTTGGTAATACTTTAGAGTCTGTTAATGACCAAAACCAACAGAAATAAAATAAAACAAAACAAAATAAAATGTTTTTTTTTCTTAGTTTTTTTGCTTATTATTTGGTAATATTTTAATTATTTGTTAATGACTAAAAAGCAACAAATACAAAATAAAATAAAATGTTTTTTCTTTTTGTTTAGTTGTTTTGCTGTATGTATATATATATATATATATACATAATCAAATAAAAGTTAAATAAAATATAACAAAATAATAAAATAAAATATTGTTTTGCAGGAAATAATGAGCCATTATAGCTGATTATTTGGTATAACATTGAAATACATTAATGATCATTAACCAACAAATATTAAAATAAAATAAAATAAAATATAAAAAATATAATCAAATAAAATAGAGTCAAACAAAAATAATAAAAATAAATAAAAAACAATAAAATGAAACATTGTTTAGCAGAAAAAAATAATGAGCTATTTTAACTGATTATTTGGTAACACTTTAAAATACATGAACATTAACCACCAATAAACAAATAAATAAAAAAATACAACATAAATGAAAATAAAATGTTAAATAAAATTCACCAATTGTAATAATAATACAATTAATAATAAAAATAATAATAGAAGAAAGAAACACAGGTTTTTTTTTAAACAAAACTGATTTGAAAAAGATTCTTAACTATACATAACAATTACTGATATCTGACCAGTTTGCTGCTACACGGAATAACCCTGTAGAAAAAGCCGTACCCTATGGGTCGTGAGACCACTAGTTCCACCTGAGGCTCTGGCTTTGATTCTAAAATGATATTGTAAACTTCTTTAAATGTGGCTCCTTGTAACTGTCGGCCATTCCACTCCAGGACCTGGTCACCTACAAAACAAGAACATCTGTTAGAATAACTCTCTCTAACGGAACACTCATTTATTGAATTAAGTTCAGTAATTAACTATGTAATTTCTTAACATGCTACCCTGGAAAATATGTAATTATTCTTTGAAAGAAATGAATACGCATACATCATTAAATGCATTACACTTAACAAAACAACAGCTACACAAGATTTTCATTTCAAGTATACAATTGAAAATAAATCCTCACCAAATCAAAATATTAAACTGTTTTCTGAAGAATCATTTAAAATTGGAGACAAAAGAGTGATGATGCAGAAATATAATCCGCTCTAGCTAGTCACAGGAATACATTTATATTCTAGTTATGAAGTATATTGGTAAACATACTATTAGTATTCAGATTAAAGTACAATTTAATGGCTTAACTAGCTTAATTATGTTATTATATTAGGTTAATACAGGGAAGTCATAGGACAACAGTGGTTTCTTAAGTAACCAATCCAAAAATATGTATTAATATAAGGCTAATAATATTAACCTTAAGAATTTATATTATTTCTTCCTTTAAAACTACTTTAAAAAAAAAGACTTTCTCCAGAATAAAAAAAAAATATTATAGGAAATACTGTGAGATTTTCCTTGTTTCATTAAAACATTTGAGAAATATTAAAAAAAAATAAATAAATCTAATGTCATATTAGGGCTAATTATTTGCCTTATAAATTCAATTAGAAATTCAATTAGAAACTAAAGTTATTTTTAAAATGCAATAATATGTCAGAATTATAGTTTTTACTGTATATATGCAGCCATATAAATAAATGCAGCTTTGTGACTTCACTCAAAAATATGCCAAAATTTTCGGACAACAACAGTGTATAAAATTTTAAAATATTAAATGTACCTGGTCTGAGGTGCCCAACTGTATCCGCTAAACTCCCTTTCCTTACTTTGGTAATGAACGCACAAAGTCGCCCAGACTCTGTCATCTTTCCACCAACCACCTGTAAAGGACCAAAAAAAACAAACAAAAAAGGTTTTTGCTTTGGTGCTAAAACTGTCGGAGAAATGCCTAGGAAATGTCACCGGCATTATAGCTATCATAAGCTTAAAACGATGTGTTTACAATATGTTGATAATGTTTATATATATACAGTATGCAAAAAAACTGTATTTACAATTTCGAATAGGTGTTTCAGCCAGACAGCTGCTATTATTTTTTGCTATTTCTGCTCAGAATTTTGTTTAATAAAATCTGTGTATTTATGTATAGACCCTTTCAACATAGCAATGTCATTGGCCCATGAACAATTCCTGCTTGTCGTCAAACTATTTCATAGCTCTGATAAGTCGATAACTAGGGCCCAACAGAATCTGTGGACATTTTTTTGTTATTTCTGCTGAAAAAGAAATCTGCAGATTTATGTGGAATGATTTTTGGAGTCTCATGACTAAAATCTTGATATGTAGGTGAAATAAAAAATAATATTTTTTAAACTTTTATTTAATGTTTACAATGCAAATCCAATTAGATTCACTTAATTGGTAAACTAAGCAAGTTTCTCATATAATATCTCTACTAAAAGACAGAACATATTATTTTACTAACTGTATTGTAAATGAATCATGAAAATGTTAATATTACTATTATTATATCACAGTAATATTAGTGAAATTAATTTAAAAACTGAATAAATACAAATTTAAAGTAATTAACACAAGTAAATACATAGACTCGATTTCTGCATGTGCAGATTCCACGTGGGCCTAGTCGTAACTGAAATACAACAGACTGATTTCATGCGGCCTCCATTTTTAAAAGCGAAATTGAGGTTGCGTTGGGAGAAACCCGGAAGTATCGCTTAAAGTTACATAGGAACGTTGTGTACTTGGCTGTATATCTTATCAGCAAAGAGAAAGTGACACAAATTTAAAATTTCACCAACTTTTGAGTGACCCGAAGGTCTGTTCTGAATGAATGGTGAAAATAAAAAGGGATATCAGAGCTCATTTTCAGCTAAGTTAAGGGAAATGGCACTAGTTAGCTAACGGTCTCTTTCCCAAACACATGTTTTAGATGCCATTTACCAAACTCAAGTTAATGAACTTCACGATAATGAATTAAAAGAAAAACCATCAATTTCCCGCTAACATTTATGGCACTGTTGATGGCTTTCTTAAAACAGCGCTGATTTGCCATTGTGTTCACATGCTCAAAAGAAATGACTATGATTGGCCAAGAAGGTCATCAGTTCACCCTCCGCTGTTTACTGAGTACCAACACAGATGAACAATCTGCTTGATAACTCGACTGATCTTCATGGCTGCTTCGCACTCCAGTGTCTGTGTATCTGTGTTTGCACTGGGTAAAGAGCGGTATGATACTGATGAGCACAGGTGAATACTATAGCAAATCAGCACTGTTTATGAACGCGCTCAGCGGTGCTTGAATGTTAGCGGGAAATGGACGTTTTTAAAATTTTAGTACTGGGACAACACTATTACAGACAACACGAGGATGTGCTACAGAGTACTGCAGTGTTTTATAGCTCACCGGGTTACATACAGTAGGCTGAAGCAGGGAAGCGTGCCCACGGTGTTTAACGGGTGCCATGAACTGAGCCTAGGTGGACACTTGAGCACGTTACTCTTACAGAGATTGTGATTTTGTTTGATGCTAAATTGCTTTTAATTGTTTAAATTAAACTGACTGAGTGATATTAAAGTGATGTCTACACCATATCTGCATTTTGAAATCTCTGCAACAGCTGGAGGTTTGTGGTCCACAGCATGTTACTGCAATGTTTAAAGTGTATAGGAGAATTATAGAGGAACTTTTATTATGTAATCACTATATAATCACTGTATAATCTGCCACTATTAAAATACACTGTTAAAACATATAGAAATACATTCAAGTGATGCAGAGCAAAACACACAGAAGTAAACAGCGGTGAAGTAGGACCATTCAGACAGCATATGCAACACGTATTGATGTATTGACCATGATAAAAAAAAAACAACTTAAAAACAACTTTGCTCAACCTACACTGCAATAGCATGCATAGGGAGAATCATTTAAAAAGTGTTGAAATATGACCTTTAATATATGCAAAAACAGAAAAACATACAGTCATCAATATAAAGGCTAGAATCCTATTGGAGCCTGGAAAAACGTGATGCTCATGCTAGACCACTGTTTCATGATGACTATGGGAAAAACCTGTATATAAACTGTGGGTTTTGGAACATTTGTAGGAGAGAGATCGATCGACCAACTCTGTTGTAACAATAAACTGCTTCAACTTGACAACTTTGAAGACCTCAGCCTCTTTTTTTGTAACTTAGAAGATGTTTGACGAGATCCAGTGCAACTTTCCACAACAAGTGCTGGTCCTATACTTCCGTGTTTTTTCCGACAGCAGCCTCACTTTGGTTCTTTAAAATGGCGGCCACGTGAAATAAGGGTATAGGACGACTTATTGTTTACTTCCATCAAAATGGTCTATAGGAGTATAGAAGCTGAAAACTTAACAAATAAGATTTAAAAAAATATATTGTTACTTTTTTTAGGGTTTACAATCCTTTTAAAACCACTTGTATGTTAAACAAAGTTACAGTAGATATAGCACATACACTAAAAATATTACTTTACAACCTGCATCGTACACAAATAATCAAAACATTTGCATATCATTCAATAATATAATTAAAATACATATAAAAAATAAACATATATATTTACACACATTTAAATATGTAAAGGTACAGAATGACAGGCTTAACAATCAAAAATTTCCTGAAAAAAATTTAAAAATCCAAAATCTGTGTAATTATGTGCACGCAGATCCAGTCAGGTCCCATAATCATCGTCACTGATTTTGCTCTGATATTAGAGTTTAGAAAGTATACTCTGTTTAGTAACGAGCCCAAGTGAGACTTTCAAAGGATGTACGTGTTATTTCTGTCTGTGCTTTTCAAATAACCAGTCGTCGGAAAAGGCCTGGAGGTCTGTTCCATAAACCACATGACCAAGCGCTTTTCTGTTAGCATCATACAAATCAAATCCCCACTAATGGAAGCCCAATGCAAACATACAAAGAAGATTACGAGCTGCCTGCTGGATAAAGATGGCTTTACATAATGAGTGGCATGGAGCCGAGGGCCAATGTGTGCGTGTGTGTGAGTGTGTGTATTTGACAAACTGCTGCTGGTAACGGATATAATGCACACGGTAGCACTGAGCTGACACACAGTCAGCCATTCAGAAAGTTCGTTATCAGTAATGATTCTCTGTTTCTCTGCACTCCGCTGAACAATCCATGCTTTAAGTGCTTTAGCAACAAATACAAGCTTCACAATTCTGCTTTCAACTCTCAAAGTGCACTGTGTTTACTTTACCACAACCATGTTGATGTATACACTAAAAATATCTGTAAATTAGCAGATTTCAGTATTTTGTGATTTTTATTTTGAATTATTCCTTGTTTATTTATGCTTTTCTATCCTCCAACTTTTAACCTTGAAATGTTAGAAAAAGGTGTCACTGTGGCGCAGTAGGTAGCACGATCGCCTCACATGAATGAATGAATGAATGAATGTTGGAAATAAAATGTCTTCTATTAAGATTTTTTTAATAGTTTAGAGTGATATATTATCTGGGTTGGTGTTAAATATTACTGTACAAACACCTTGTAATAAACTGCCAGTATATGTTCTGTTTTTTTAAAGACTTATTTCTCTCTATATATTATTTTTTATAGATTATATTATTTCAAACTACTAAAATGTCAATAAAAATCACTTTGTTAAAGTGTAGAGTTGAATTTTCAACATCAGAGGTCATCAGAAAAGAGATCAACATTCCATAATACAATTCACAACCGTAAATAAACGGAAAAGCCTTGTTAATCACAAAATATGGATGTATTTTACAGTGTATTCTTTAAAAAATTTAGACTTGTTTTGGCATTAATGATTTACATCCAGGGGGTATATATTCTTATTGCACTTAATTCCAGAAGTAAAGATTTTTCTCCATAGGGACACTTTTAAAGATCCTGTAAAATCAAAATTAAGATTTTATATGTTAGTATTAGTTTTCAGGTTATGTATAAGCTTGTGTTCTCCAAAATAGGGTGCTCTGGTTTTTTATTAGGTACACCTGTCCAACTGCTCGTTAAGTGACTTTGAACGTGGCATGGTTGTTGATGCCAGAAGGGCTGGTCTGAGTATTTCATAAACTGCTGATCTACTGGGATTTTCACACACAATCATCTCTAAGGCTTACAGAGAATGGTCCAAAAAAGAAAATATCCAGTTCTGTGGGCGCAAATGCCTTGTAGATGCCAGAGGTAAGAGGAGAATGGCCAGACTGGTTCCAGCTGATAGAAAGCCAAAAATAACTCAAATATCCACTCATTACAACCTAGGTATGCAGAAGAGCATCTCACAGCCTACCTGAGTATTGTTGCTGACCATGTTTATCCCTTTATGACAACAGTGTACCCATCTTCTGATGACTATTTCCAGCAGGATAATGCACCATGTCATAAAGCGCGAATCATCTCAGACTGTTTTTTTGAACATGACAATGGCTGCAACCGAAACCGCATACTTCCATACTATGTAGTATGCAAAAATCAGTATGGGAGCCGAGTAGTATGTCCGAATTCCTAGAATTGGAAAATCAGTTTGCGAGAAGTACCTGGATGACTTACTACTTCCGGCGAGATTCTGGAGTGCGCATCCCATGCACACTGCGCTATCCCATGATGCTCCGCGAGAGAATTCATGAAAGCGAGTAAAGCAACTGACGCAAGTAGGTCAAGTGACCATGACAAAATGGCAGACGTAGTAAGTCCGAATTCCATTTATACTTTTCACATTCATACCGTATAGAACCTACTTTTCTAACGACCGAGTAGTATGTTTAAACTCAAATGCAGTACCTACTGAGTAATAGGCGGTTTCGGATGCAGCCATTGAGTTCACTGTACTCAAATGGCCTCCACAGTCACCAGATATCAACCCAATAGAGCACCTTTGGAGTGTGGTAGAACGGGAGATTCACATCATGGATGTGCAGCCGACAAATCTGTAGCAACTGCGTGATGCTATCATGTCAATATGGACCAAAATCTCTGAGGAATATTTTCAGAACCTTGTTGAATCTATGCCACGACTGATTAAGGCAGTTCTGAAGGCAAAAGAACTGGTACTAATAAGGTGTACCAAATAAAGTGGTCAGTGATGTTACATAATAAGGGCAAACTTTAAAATAAAGTACCAAAAGTAATTCAGAAAAAACACTTCAGGAATATTTTTTTTTCATGATTGCTCCCAGATTTTGGACTGCCTAGCCTCTTTAAATTTGGGAGGCCCCTCCATTGTCAACATTAGCCCCTTTCACACAGTGATACCGGTAAATATCCGGAAAATTTCTGGAACGACTTTACCGGTAAATTCAAAAAAAGCGCTGTTCACACAGGCGAGGACGTTACGGAATTTTTCCGGAAAAGAGCATTCACACATCCATCCCCAAATTTTGGTAAATTCTGACATCATTAACCATAAATGACCTCTAAACGGCTGCGCTTGTGTTTGTAAACATTTGACTACATCACAAACTCTTTGGATGGATCAGTATTGAGTACAACTCCAATGAAAACATAGAGAAACACTTTCGCATGTCGAGATGTACTTGATATGTGTGTGTGCTGGCGCTATGGGTGCTCACGGGCACCCGCAAAGCTTGAAGGTAAACAAACAACGGATTATCATAAACATTTTATTGATAATTATTTACACAGTTAGCATTAAGAAGGAACATAGAAACATTATCTGACTAACATCTAGCAGGTAAAGGTGTCTGGAAAAATATTCAAAGGCTTTTATTCTCATAAACCGCGCGCACGTGAATGCGTCTGACTGTTCTGATTGGCTAGAGTAGACGTTTCACGTCAGCACGTTCTAAACGTGTACGCGCTCTTTCCGGCAATCTTCCTTCTGCATTCACACAGCGCAGCATTCCAGCAAATCACCGGTAATGTTACAACTTCTCTTTCCGGAAAATAGCCGGAACGAATTTACCTGTATTTTCCAAAAGGGCCTGTTCACACATACAACCTTTCCGGAAAATTGCCGGTAATTTTCCGGAAAGGTCTGTATGTGTAAAAGGGGCTAATGTCTTTGTTGCACTTTGGTGGTTGTTAAATGCTTCATAAATAAGGTTTGTATTTGATTGAATGATTGTTAACTAAAGTGTCCACACACATAAGGCCACGTAACTCACTTTGAGTCCCAGAAGAGCTCCGGAATCGCGGGGAACGCTGCCGTCCTTCATGCGCTTGTTGAGCAGGATCCTGCCGATGAGCCGATCTCCGTCTTTGGAGGGCTGCCATGTAACTGGGTGCTGTCAGGTCAAAAAATAAAAAAATAAAACACACACACACAAACACACACACAACAAACATCATTCCAGAACACACAGAAAGCTGCCAGTGCTGGAGCGGGACGGCTGAGATGAGCTTCATCCCGTTTATCACACAAACTCTGCTGTGATCGCAGGTGTTTCATGAGGGTAAGCCAAATCAAATAATGTCTCCCAGGGGGATTAAGGGATTAGATCACCCTAAAATGAAAACGCCGTCGTTATTTACTCACGCTCAAGCTGTATGATTTTGTTTCCCGTGGATCACAAGTATTTGTTTTCCATATAATCAAAGTGGATGGCCCTACTTAAAGGGATAGTTCATGCAAAAATTAACATTTAATCGGTCATTTATTTATTATAAATCTTTATGAGTTTCTATCATCTGTTGAACACAAGAGAAGATATTCTGAAAAAAGCTGAAAAACTGTCACCATTGACATCCACAATAGGAAATACAAATATTATAAAAGTCAATGCTTAAAGGTTCTCAGCATTCTTCAAAATATCGTCTTTTGTGTTAAACAGAAGAAAGAAACTCACACAGCTTTGGAATAAGTGAAGGAAGAGTAAAGGATGACAATTTACATGTTTGTGTGAGCTCTCTTTAATAGGAGTTTTGGCGTATCAATACCACAATATTGTAATATTTTCCTTCAGCAATATAATATTAATACTAGTGCTGCATCCCAATTCGCTTACTTAAACTACGTCTTAAAAATATGTACCTTTTTGTGTGCAACAAGAGTATACAAGCCTTCAGCATCCTCATTATTATTGACTGATATGTTGCTTAGTTATGTGCCCTGTCAATCATCTCAACACATTTCTTTCATATTTAATTTTCTTCCATATTGGAGAAGCCGCAGTAGATTGATCTGTAATAAGCAAGTCTTTCATACAATTTCCACAGTTGTTTGCATAATTATGCATCCATATATTGACTAAATGCACTTTTATACAAGTTCACAATGTTATCGCTGATGAAATATAATGAGGAAAACTTGATTTAAATTTTTAAAAATTTTAAGTTAATTAACAGTCATTCAAACATCATAACCAAGGCCTCAACACTTAACTGTCGGTCTCACGCATCTGCCATGTTTGTAGTTTGTTGCCACTTTTTACCAGTGTTTGTAGTTGTAATCGAATTTAGGTCATTCGCGCATGCGCACATTTGTGCAGTTGGAGGAGAAGATCTGTTCCTTTTTTGAGTCTTCTATCAGGTTTGAGTCGTCCATTCATCACATGAAAGACAAAAGCCAATCATATGCATTTAGAGCCGTAGAAAGATTTGATCCGTTCATTTTTCGAGTCCTCGCGTTTGAGTCATCTCTCTTTACATTCTGTCACATGATAACCGAACGACTCAAAAACCAATATATATAGGACTGTCTGTGTGATGTGAATGAATCACTCAAATTTGAAGACCTGTCAGAAGAGGTGAGCTGACATAGTCATAGGCAAAAGACCTGGTAAACAATAAATCATTATTTTCTCTTTCTTATAGCATTCTAGTTATGACTTGTTTGTAGTGTGAACAACGTTTGAGCTAGTTGTAGATGAGTTTAGAAGCAACTAGTATAATTTTTACAGTATTTTGGCAAATTAAACGAAATGACTCGAAAAAAGATTCGTTCATCTCAATAAATAAGACTCATTTTGATCCGAACTTTTTATCACAATAACACGCCATGTATTTTGGGCAATATGTGTGGTTAAAGTAAGCACGAATCTGCATTTCTAATTTCTACTAGAAATAACAGAGCGTCCAGGTTATTTTCAACATAAAATGATTTGGGACATACTAATTTGATTTTCGAATACTATTTAGGATGGATAGTATTCAAATTGGGACAACGCATTGATCATCCATATCAATATATCACCACCTTATTTATTATTACATAATTTATTTTTATTAAACTATTCTATTATATTATTGGACAATATTAGTAAATAATTTGATAAATCAGCTCTGTATTAATTAAAGATTTTTTTTTAGGTTTGAGTGGTATTTGTAAGGAATTGGATGCAAGCAGAGTATAGCTATTTGTAAAGCACACATCGTCATCTGCTGTAAAAAACGAATCTCAGAATCCTTTCAAAAGAGAATAGTAATGCACTTTCAAAAGCAAAATGAAGAATCGATGCAGAATTGATTTCTGGAATGATTTTTTTATCCAACAAGCAATGTATTGTAGCTGATATTAGTAGTTGTAGTATGCACAGATCTGTACTTCTAATTTCTACCAGAAATAGTAGACCATCCATGTCATTTTGGAATACTCATTTCAACCTAAAATGATTTGGGACATACTAAGTCTATTTACTAATACAATTTAGGATGGATATTATGCAAATTGGGACACTGCAACGGACACCCATACCAATATATTGCCATTATTCTATTATATGATTTATTTATTAAAAATATTAAAGCTGTGGCAACAAACTAGTCAAGAAATCAATTATGTATTGATTAAATATTATTTAAGGTTCGTGTGGTGTTTGTAAGGAATTGGATGCAAGCAGAAGATGACTATTTGTAAAACATACAGCACCATCTGCAGTTAAAAACTAATCTTAGAATCAATGCATTTAAACTGCATTTCGAAAACCTCAATGAAAAATCGATTACTGAAAAGATTTTTCGCCACAGCTTTAACAAGTATTGTGACAATAGTGCATTGTAGGAACTCTAACAGCTACCGACATGGGTTTTTCCAATGTCAAATGGTCAACCAACATGGATTTTTACATTTGAATGGTTGACTAATGTGTTTTTCAATATTAAATGTTGAAGATAAAGGCCAAACTAGTCCATTCCAATGTGATTTTAGGTCTTCTGAAGTAAAATAACAGCTTAGCATGAACTAAAATAACTTTGAAAGGTTAAATTTCTCTTACATTTTAGGTTATCAATTTTAAATAATGATGTCGACTCACTTTTGACAAACTATGCATTTCAAATAGATATGAATATAATTTGGTGACTGAATGTAATGAAAGTTGTATTATAATACAATAAATCAATAGCTCAGTTTTAAAGATGACACAGGAAAGCCATTCAACATAGTGATCTGGGTTCAACACAAGTTCAGCTTTATGGTCATCATCTACAACATGCTGTCAATTAACAGACAAAATAATTTTGAATTACTGGGATAGATGTACAAAAATTGCTTACGGGAGAAAAATATATAATGGAGGTCTATGGGGCAAACCATTCCAGATGGTTTAAAAGCAGAAAAGTAAAGCTTGCATTTTTGCCAAAGCGCTTACATTACTTATTTTCTACAAATTGGCTGTTTTTTGAGCTATAAAGTCATCTAAACTGTCCATTTAGTGATGAGATGACTTTTTGAGATTTGCTTGTGCTAGTGATGTTACTTAAAGTTTGCACGTTGCAACATGATACCACGTGATAAAATAAAAAGCAATTTTTCACATTAATTACATACCATGTTCAGCATATATAAGCATACCCCTCACAAATCTTTTTGTGATCTTTTTGCAATTTCTTAAATTCATATTTTTAATAGGAAGCTTTACAATATATTTGTGCATATACATTAGATTAATCAGAACTGAAGCCAAATCTGGAGCAAATTTTACAAAATAACTTATGATACCGGTCCAAAAACTAGTACACCCAAATTTATATTATAAACAAATATTAAATACCAATTTTAAAAATAAACAAAAATCAAGAGAAGCAAAAAAATTAAAAAATTTAGTTAAAATTGTGTTGTTTTTTTTGCAATATTTTGCTTGATTTTAACTGTATTATTAGTAAATAATTCGAGAAATCAGTTCTGTATTGATTAAAGAATATTTTTTGGGTTTAAGTGGTATTTGTAAGGAATTGGATGCAAACAGAGCATGGCTATTGTAAAGCATACAGTGTCATCTGGTGTTAAAAACAAAGCTCAGAATCCTTTCAAAGGAGAATAGTAATGCACTTTCAAAAGCGAAATGAAGAATCGATGCAGAATTGACTTCTCGAATGATTTTTCATCCAACACGCAATGTATTGTGGCTGATATTAGTGGTTGTAGTATGCGCAGATCTGTACTTCTAAATTCTACCAGAAATAGTAGACCATCCATCTCATTCTGGAATACTCATTTCAACATAAAATGATTTGAGATATACTAAGTCTATTTACCAATACAATTTAGGATGGATATTATGCAAATTGGGACACTGCAACGGACACCCATATCAATATATTGCCATTATTCTATTGTATGATTTATTTACATTATACTTTTGTTATATTATTGAAAAAAATATTAAAGCTGTGGCAACAAACTAGTTAAGAAATCAATTATGTATTGATTAAATATTATTTAAGGTTCGAGTGGTGTTTGTAAGGAATTGGATGCAAGCAGAAGACATTTTGAGATTTAGCATTTTGACATTTTGAATCTTTTTGCAATTTTTTGAATTCATATTTTTAATAGGAAGCTTTACAATATATTTGTGCATAAACATTAGATTAATCAGTACTGAAGCCAAATCTAGAGCAAATCTAACAAAATAACTTACGATACCGGTCCAAAAACTAGTACACCCAAATTTATATTATAGAAAAATATTAAATACCAATTTTAAAAATAAACAAAAATCAAGAGAAGCAATAAAATGTAAAAATTTAGTTTAAGATTTTTTATAATTTTTTTGCAATATTTTGCTTGATTTTAATTGTATTATCTTTCAATTTGTAAATATGTTTGGTGACTAAAATATTATTTTAATAAATATATCTATTTAATAAATATGTTTTGTTTAAATGCACCAAAATACATTACCTGTATTTACAAAGAATATAAATTTTCAAAATGGGGTGTACTCAATTATCCTAAGCACTGTATATACTGCTGAAAGTCCTAAGGTCTTGCCCTACAAAATTGCCATTTCGAATCTCTTATAGAGTCATTTTTACTCAGATGATCAGCCAAAACATTCAGTTATGACATAATAGTGATAATATTTTAACTGTTTTTTTTATTATTATATAGGCCATATCAATGATTACAGCAAAAATTGTAAAGCTGTAAAATATTCTAAATAAAGAACATTATTAAAATCTTTAAGATCAACCTTATATAATCAAATATACTTTACAATGGAATCTATAACCTGCTTAACGTGTACTGAAGTCAGAACACCTCCAGAACTTCATAATCTCATTTTTCCAAATTGAAACTTATTTTTTTGATAAAGGTTATGCAGAGTTTGTGTGATTTTCTGTTTGGGAGTGACATGCACCCTTAACATGCAGAGAAAAGCCCCCCAGTGGTGCACAGAGACCTCCGTCGCCACCACAGCCGATCCCCAGCACCACACACCCAGCAAACACAAGCCCGAACAAATGGAAGAAGAAACACAGACGTTGATGTTCAAACTGAAAGCGAGGAGAACAGCATGGAAAGGCTCGCCAAACACAAACCGTGGAAGCCCATAACACGGAGAGCAAAGGAACGTGACAGTGGAAAGGGAAAAAAGAAAAACAAACTTTGTGGCAAACAAATCCTGGCTAGCCGTTTCTGAGCGAGTGAGTGAGCGAGTGTTCGAGTCTCCTGGAGAAGGGGGGGAAAAGGAGTGAGGATTTGAACCAGTGAGGGGTTCTTGGGGCCCTAAAACGCGGCTGACGGGACCAATGTAACACACGAGGCTGAGAGGACATGCAGCTCACAGGGAAACCCACATTCTCTGAGTGCCATGACAAAAACACAGTCACATGGTGGAGTGATTGGCTGCTACGGTCACTACTGCAGCTGCGGCTAAGAAGCAAACGGTAACAGAGCAAGCAAGAGGCTCCCCAGCTACCGGCAGAGAAGAAAGGAAATTTGAAAAACTCAGGAGAAATATCAACTTAACACTGGAATAGTTCAGCCAAAGTTGTTGATGTTTTTGTTTTATGTTTGTTAAAGTTGTAGATGTTTTGTTGTTAAGGTCTTCTGAATCTTTCCAAAATAATGTTGAAGCAAATTGAGCCAGTGTAGGATTGAACTACCTAGTGGTTGTATTAGGTATTGCAGTCCAAATTCAAAACATTGAAGAGAATTTTTACAAATTGCAGGCAGGTCATGATATCCCTCGCTGCATTCTGTAGCACGATGGCGTACTGGACAAGGTCCATTATGTAGTAGACTTTGTAACGCCCACTAAGGTAACACCCATGCTACTGTGTGGTTAGGTTTAGGGTTGGGGGAGGTGTAGATGTTAATAAGTTTGGGGTTGGAGGAGATGTACACATAAAAACACACACAATTTAATGTGTAATTTAATAATTAATATAAATAATGAGCATTTCTTGCAACAACTGCTTGCGCCCACATCCACTACATATTGAACCTGGTACAGTATGTCACCAAGCTGCGGGCTGCAGTGAGAACACTCTCTGGTAGGTTGCCAGATTGATAGTACCAAACAGGAACAAGTGTGCCTAACAATCAAGCCTTACAATGGAAGCTGCTTAGCTAGTGTTTATGTTTGTAATACTTATATGATTTGCTAATAAAAGTCCACCGCATGTGGATTTTTATAACTCTGAATCTGCTACTCATTTCGGAGGCTGCTATGGTCTTCTGGAGGTCAAATTTTTTGGTTGAGAAAGCCAACATACGTTCAGCCAGCCTTCATAACCATCATGAGTCTCCAGTTATCAATTCAATGATTCTCCATATATCAATTAACCCATTCAAATAGATCAGTCAAAGCGAATCTCCAGTTAACAACTATTTGATTCTAATGATACAGAGAATCTCCAATGAACAATTCACTGATTCAAATGATCCAGCCAGAGTGAGTCTTCAGTGATCAATTCATTGATTCAAATAATTTGGTCAGAGCGAGTCTCCAGTTAATGATTCTTTGCTTCAAATGACTCAGCGAGTATCCAATGAACAGTTCACTGATTCAAAAGAACCAGTCAGAACGAGTTTCCAGTTAAAGATTCTTTGGTTCAAATGATTTAGCTAGTCTTCAATGAACAATTCACAGATTCAAATGACGCAGTGATTCTCCAGATACCGATTTACTAATTCAAATCATTCGGTCAGAGCAAGTCTCCAGTTAATGATTCTTTGCTTCAAATGATACAGCGAGTCTCCAATGAACAATTCACTGATTCAAATGATCCAGTCAGAGAGAGTCCCCAGTGATCAATTCACTGATTTAAATAATTTGGTCAAAGTGAGTCTCCAGTTAACGATTCTTTGCTTAAGATGATTCAGGAAGTCTCCAATGAACAACACACTGATTCAAAAGAACAAGTCAGAGCAAGTCTCTAGTTATCAATTCACAAATTCAAATGATCCAGCATGTCTCCAATAAACAATTCACTGATTCAAATGATTCAACGAGTCTCCAGTTATCAATTTACTGATTCAAATAATTTGGTCAGAGCGAGTTTTCAGTTCATAATTCACTGATTCGAATGATCCAGCAAGTCATTAGTGATTCACTGATTTGAAGGATTGATAAAAAAAGAAGGATTTAAAGGAGTGCTTCGGATTTGGAACAGCATTAAGGTTGATAAATGTAACTTTTTGGCTGAACTATCCCAGTCACATCCAAAACAAAAAGAAAATCAAATCAACATCTCACCTATCGTTAGCGACATCAAAACAAAGACCAAGTGGAAATGGAACAAAATGAAGTAAATGAAAAACCAAACGAGATCAAAATGAACTGAAAGCAGTGCAGGCCAGAGGGGGTCCCAGTACCTTCTCACTATGGCTATGCTCCTCGTTTAGGGTTGTGCTACTGCACGTATCAACACCCGAGTCTTTAACCTGGGGCTCACACCACTCAGCATCTTCTTCCCAAGAGTGGCCCCCAAAGCGCACCATTTTCTTTTGGCCCTCAGATAAGGTGTGTGACTGCTCAAAAGTTTGTCTTTTTCCCCTTTGACTGTCCCCTACAGACATGGGATAAAAACAGAAAGAAACAAAAGACATGCAGAAGTGAAAATAAATCAAAAGAACCATGAAATGACCAAGAGAGACAGAGAGAGAGAGAAAGAAAGAAAGTGGTGGGACATTCGGCTCCGCATGTCTCACCAAAGACATGATGGAGGCATCGCTGCTGTGCCACGTTGTGTGATCCCACCAGTGGCCATCCAAATCTCCTGCGAGTGCCACACACACACATACATACATAATCCCAATATGCACACATACAGCAGAGAGCAAAGTAGTTCATGAGGACACATGGCAGACATACTGTAAAGACACTTACACTTACACTTTTTAAAGTTGACAAGTTGCATTGTAAAACACCATATTTGAAGAACAAATTTGTTTTATTTATGTAGTTTAAAGTCAGACGAAAATATAAGGCAAACAAGTAAAAAGGGAAAATCAATTCTTTCACCGTTTACCATAAAAATGTTCTATGGTGTGACCAAGCGGCAACATCCTGCTCTCCCTCCTGAAGCTAATATGGAAGAAACTGAAACTGCAATTCATTGAAATTCCTCTGGGCCTGGCAGCTCCTGGCTCCAAAACAGAGCACATTTCTATTAACCCCAATGTTAAAATGGCAAACTTTACAGCAGAAAAAAAAGGAATTTACAGCCTGGTACAAAAAAAGTTTTGGTTCATATAGCTAATATTACACTACATGAAAACTGTGAGGGGGTAAATTTTTCTAAAACTCCTCCGTTTTGTTTATATTAAGTCTGCATAATTAAGGGCATGGCCACTTGAGTGACAGTTAGGTCTCGCTGGTCGCCATCACTTCACCTCAGCTGATTCCGGCTGATTAGCCACTGAACTTGGCTAATACAACGTATTTTTGTTTTGTTTAATGTTTCTTTACACAGTAAATAGATTTTTTAATTGTTTTCAACAAATATCAGATAATATGGCATGCTTTGTGCACTTGATTGTGCTCACAAACCATTCAAGTGGCCTCCATTTCCTAGGTGAGTGAAATTATACACTATACGACATCTCTATAAACGTATTTGTTTTATTTATTTAAGATAATATACTATTTTTAGAACTGTAAAGCACTCCAGAATCTGACAGATTGATTAGCTGTAGGCTATGAAACAGTCATCTGAAACGTTGTCATACAGCGTTATGCCTGGACTTCATAAATAGCCTTGAATTTACTAACACAGACTATATTTGAACTGAACTTAAACACTAAAACCTGAACCACACTGTTCCAGTTACTATAACCATTTATGTGAAGCTGCTTTGACACAATCTACATTGTAAAAGCGCTATACAAATAAAGCTGAATTGAATTGAATTGAATTGAAGTATTTTGAAGAAATTTGCGTTTTCTTTCGGTTGAAAAGCATCACAAGAACAATGCTTAGTGGCTCAATGTATTACAACAGTGTTTTTTAATAGACTAAACACTTTATTGATATAGTTCACAACCAAGCACATGAGGTCAGAACACAAACGAGTCGCAGATAACGAAGTATTAAGTGTTTCTCCCAAAGAAAAACCTGTCTAGGCAAAATGCTAGTAGGCGTCTGTAGCTCCACTCATGCTTCGCCTCTTTGGCCAT